GAGTAAAATGTCAAAACCTAGTGTACTTAATATTTTCAAATTTCATAATATATAATTGTTGACAACCAAAAAATTTCCAACCGAAGTTAAACTAAATCGAATAGAAATGTTTTCACACCAATTAAACAAATTATAGTAAAAAAATTGATGGTAAAAGCAAATATGGATTTGGTCAAAGATGACGCTTGGTCCTTCAAAGGTGACGTCAGAGACTCAGAGTAAGTAAGCATCACTGTTATTGCTGCACACTGGCATAGACCCAGAATCCAATTTAATTCACGCAAGATACGGTGAAAATTAGATTTCACACCTATACTTTTTAAGAGTTAATTAGCTAAATAACCAAAAACTATAGGAAAATTAGGAAAATAACCAAAAGCTTTGGAATTCTTTTGAAAAACTATAGGTGGTTTTGTAAAATTTTTGGTTAATTACCTAATTTTACTATAATTTTTGGTTAATCGACAAAGACATATACTACTATGATTTAGTGGTTTATGCTTGTATTACTAACGTGTCATTATTCGAATCAAATTATATATAATTAAAAAGAAAAAATTACAAAAATGCTATTTTTGATGTGGACATTCGCAAAAATACCACTTAAGGCTGTTTATTTGCAAAAATACCACTAATTATAGATTTTTAAATCTTATATCTTAAAATTCTAAACATTAAAAAATGTTTTGATCCCTAAACCCCCATAAACCCTCATAACTAAACTCTAATAGAACATAATTAACCCAAACATAAATAATATAATTTTTTTTTAAAGTGGCATTTTTGTAAAGATTTCAAAAGTGTGACACTTGAAAAATTACATTTTTGAAATTTTTCATTAAAAAAAACTATAAGTGTAACGTCCATTTAGATTTGCAATTATTTATTTAATTACAGAACTATTTATAAAATTAACTGTTTTATAAAATTAAAATGTTATTAATTTTAGTTAATTTTTAATAAACGAGAATAATTTGTATTTAGTCTACAAAAACATCCGTATAACTGTTTAATTTAATATATTAAACCACGTTAAAAATAAAACATGACAATTGGTAAACATAAACTTGTAAATATTACCATCTCTACATAATTTTAGAGCACGAAAGTTCGACTCATCTCTTTACAAAAATATTGAAACAAGAACCACAAAAAACAAGCTGACATTCACAAAAAAAAAATTAAATGTGTGTATATATATTACAAAATTAAATGTTCGAAAACTAAATCAGGTACTCCTACCTACATACTATATGTGTATAATGTATCCACTATCCACAATAATAATAATGCAGAACAC